GCGCAAGAACACTCGTGTCCGCAGAACTCTGGCTCCAAGATAAGACAAAGCGGTCAGTCCAGACTCCGGCCAGGCCGCACGCGACGCATGGCCCGCCACGTGCCCAGCACCGAAAACCTCGGAAGAAGGCTGCGCATCTACACCTTGTCCGGACAAGAGCTGTCCAACCTGCCGAGCCTACCAGAGGATGCAACCACCAAGCATCTGAAGCAGCGGCTGGAAGACACACACGGGATGCCGCGATTCCGACAAAGGCTCTTCGAGGGCAATCGCGCCCTGCAAGACCAAGACGAACTAACCCTTCCGGCAGATCTGCACCTAATGCTGCTCAACTACATTCCCGCCACACGAGAGAACGTGCTCCAGCTGATCCACGCCTGCTACCTGGGATACGATAAATGGATAGTGGAGATTCTGAGCCGACCACAAGACGTCAACGTGCCCTTGCCACCACCACTCGTGAACATCGACCCAGACGACTACAGCGGCGGTGACAGCGAAGATCTAGATATACTCTGCACGGCCCTGCAAGCAGCAGCTCGCGGAGACCAGGCGTCGAGCATGCAACTGCTGCTAGAAGCCCGTGCCGACGTACGTGCACCCGGCAACAGGACGGCATTGTGGTGGGCAGCAAGAGAAGGCAGCACACGCGCAACGCAACTGCTACTACGTGCAGGGGCAGAGCCGGACAGCAAAAACAACCGCAACGAAACGGCACTGCTGGAGGCGGCCTGGCAAAACCAGGACAGCACCGCCTCTCTGCTGATCCATGCCCGGGCCAGCCTCGAGGCCCGCGACAAGCACAACAGAACGCCCCTAGTGGCAGCGTGCATCGCAGACAGCCACAACGTTGCGATCCTGCTACTTCGAGCTGGCGCTGATGTGCAACACCTCCTACAACATGAAAGCACAATTGCGTCCGTGATAACAAATGCGACGTGTGCAGCGGCCGCTGCAAACCACCAAGACGCCCTGACGGCCCTGTTCGAAGCAGGCGCCAGCATGGACGCCTCGCTATGGCACGCCGCATATGGAGGATACACAGAGGCCATCGAGATCCTTCTGCTCTACCAGGCCGACCCGAACACCGACCACGCCGAAGAAGAAAAACGAAATGCCCTATGGGCAGCGGCAACCAGAGGACACACCGCAGCAGTCGCACGCCTGCTGGCGGCCCGAGCCGACCCCAACTCCCTGGACGAATCATCTGAGCTCTACCTCGAGAAATATCCCGATATCGTGCAGCTCCTACAGCAAGCAAATTCCGACACAGGAAACGAGCTACTGCCCCGAATGCGCCGTCGCAGACCCGGACGACCAAACAAAACCCTCCTGGCGAGCAACACGAGCCGACGACGAGTGATCAGCAAAAAAACGACCTGGCCGCTAGACCGTTTCGCAAAGCACGCACGACGGGATGTACAATCGCGACGTGCAAGCCGCCCTCGCGAGAAGCAGCAATCGGATCCAACGACGGTGCCCCGCCGGCCAGCACGAAAGCAGGCGCAGCAAGAGCAGATCACCCATCTGCCAGAAGTTTCACCGTGAAACATCTCCAGAAGGACGGGTGATAAGAAAAAAGAGTGCCGCATGCATCCTCGACGATTCGCCCCAGCAGCCAAATCCCTGGATATGACAATGTCCGCAGCCATCCTCCCTCGAGAAAGCCATGCCCGATAAGAAAGCGAACAGTCAAAAGCCGCCAAAGGCAACGGCGTTATGGCGTCCGAGGCAAAACCGAACGCAAGCAAGCCCAACAAAGCCGCAAGGCCACGTCCACTCAAGACGAGACAATCCCACAGTGCTGACAACGCCACAGCATGCAATCGCCAATCAGAAAACCAAAGGAATCCACATCAGACCAACAGTCGAAACGCGGAAGCCATGGATAAAAACGTACCTGCCACAAAGGCCGCCCGCCGACCCAGGCCAGGCCTCTTCGCCCGACGAACCCGGCGGAAAGCCTCCGCCAAGCAGAAGCCGCGAATCTACAGGTTCAACGGAGAAGTCCTGCCGCAGACGTCAACCCGTCGACATCCCACGCCAAAGGACCTGCTGCGACGCTTGGAGCACACCTGCGGCGTTTCAATGTACAGGATCAGGCTGATACAAGACGGTCAGATGCTTCGAGCGAGCGGCAAGCGACCCTTCGCCTCGGCAAAGAGCATTCAGATGCTCCTCCTACCGTACGTGCAAGACAATAGCAGCAGAGACGTGCTCCAAAGTCTCGAAACAGCAATCCGAACGCAAAACACGGCGGCATTGAGAGAACTGCTGTGGCGACCCGTGGACCCAAACACAGCCTTCCCTCGCTACCTGCCGCGTCCAATCACAGCACTAGAACTGGCGCTGCTGAGCGCAGGACCGCGCACGGAAACGATCCTTTCCACACTGCTAAAGGCGAAGGCAAGGCCTAATGACCCGAGAAACCAAGGCATGCTCTGCCTAGCCGTGCAACAGAACGACAGCAAGACGCTGCAACTGCTCCTGCGGCACCGAGCGGACCCGAACAGCTCCACCAACCGAATAACCCCCTTGGACATAGCGTGCCAACTGCCGCATCAGGAGCAGGAACCTAAAGCAGCACTAATGCTGCTAGCAGCGCGAGCAGAGATACAGGGCATGCTCCAAGACGAAAACAGCTGGACGTTGGAGCCAAGGCGGAAAGACTATCTGGACTACGCGCACCCTCGGTCGCTCGCAAGCACAGTATGCTTGGTGCGTGCTGCAGCAGGACTGCCAGACCACACGCACCTGCAGCAGATCATCGAGATGGCCAAGACGAAGAACGTGCGCATCCTGCCCACATGCCTCTGCAGCGCAGCCGCCAACGACAACCAGCATGCCGTGCAGTGGCTGCTACACGCACAAGCGCCAGTAGACTCGCATGTATGCCAAATGGTGCTAAGAGGAGATCACCGCCTCGTGTTCAGCAGCCACGCTCGCCGCACAGCACTCGCCCTGGCTGCCGGAGAGGGCCACTGCGCCACCACGAGAACGTTGCTCCGAGCCAGGGCGGACCCAAACAAACAACTGGACGGACAGACGGCTCTGCTGCACACTGCAGCAGCACGCAAGGCCTCCATAACAGCCGTGCGCGCCCTCTTGACAGCTGCCGCAGATGTCAACCAAGAGGACAGCTTGGGCCGCACAGCTCTCAGAGTGGCTCTGCAACACCCAAAGCCGGACGTGGAGCTCATTCAAACACTGCTGCATGCCAAGGCCGACACCCAACACAGAGACCACGTCGATGACACGCCTTTCAGCTTTGCAACCCGGAGATGCTGCGCCACTCTTCTCGATCCGGAAAGAAGCCTCGCATGGATGCTCTCAAGAACAAGAGAATCAAGAAGACTCTCGAGGTAGCAGAATAGCTGCACGGCAAGGACTATGCTTGGTGCACGGGTCCAGCATTCCGGTCTGCACGCAACAAGCTTGCCAAGGGCAATGCGGAACTCGTCCTGCGAAGAGAGGGCTCGAAACCGTTGCTGCATAGCTAAAGGACATACAGACGACTGCCACAGCACCTATCTCATCTCTCAAGATAAGAACTTAAATCTCGCTGCATTCACCAGACCAGCACGGCCTTTTTGCCTCTGAGCACCTCGATGCGCCCGCGCAACTGGTGCAGGGCGCCTCCAGGAGCATGCAGAGACGAACGGCTCGCTGTACAAGCCGCACAAGATCGCAGACCTAAAAGGAACAGAAACCCGTGCGAGCAAAAATCCGAGTCGTGCCTTCTCAAATGCAACGCCGTGATAACGATAGGGCCAGTAAGTCCATTTTTTCGAGTCCAGCTTGCATCTACATTCTTGTCGTGCAGCATCGCACCGCAGCAAAATCCCAGCTCAAAAGTAGCAGCAAGCCTACCGGACCGCCGCAAACGGCCAAGGTGCGCCCGGCGAGAGACGGACCCGCAAAAAAGAAAAGGCGTACTCGCCTGCCCCCCACGCAGGTCGCGCCAACATGCAGCCCAGCAAAACCAGGCGCCGATGGGCGGACATGACGGACGAAGAAGATGACGCAAGACACCTAGCGCACGTGGACACACGCAATAACCAACCCCGCACAACTTGTCAAGGACACCGGCTGGGACTTCGAAGCCTTCAAGAAGCACTACCTGGCCACGAAATGCAGTCTCACGCTCCTGACGCCGGCGCCGCCCTGAATGCTTCCCGGGAACAAAAAAACCCACCAACGAACCACGTGCAGAGAACGGACGCGCCCCTTCGTCGCGCGCCTAGGCCGGAAGAATCACAATCGACGAGGCCCAGAGCACGAAGCAAGACCCGGCGTCTATTGCAAGCACGCAAGTCCACCCAAACATGCCCGTGACACACGTGCCGGCTCGCCGAAGGCATGGAAGACCACCCCGACGACGGCACCACGCCGGAACACTCGCACAGGCCGCAGCGCGAAACATGCAAGCCAGCGAAGGAAGCAGGCCCGGCGACCAGCAGCAGAAAAGGACGGCAGCGACACGACCCCGAAGCCAAGCACGGCAACAACCAAAACCAGACGCTCTGCCGCAGAATCCCCTGCAGGTTCCCAAGCCGCGAAAGCACCAGCAAAGATGGACGGCCGAGAACGAGATTGAACTGGAGCAGGAGTTCCGCCGAACAGAGGCTCCGACTGCACCCGTAAAGCCAGTAAAACGCAGCATGACCAAGAAGACATCCAACAAAAAAAAAAATGCCGCAGGACCAAAAAACCTTGGCGGCGGCCGCCACGCGACAAAAAAATGCGGAAACGCTGGCGGCGAGAAGCCAAGGACAACGCAACAACATGCCGCGCGCTCCACGAGGAGGGGGCAAACTCACTTCGGACGACCAGCCGGAGCTGGACACCGGCATCGAGGCAGGGCCCTCCGCTTCGGATCTTCTGCCACAGCCTTGCCCAACAAACCCACCCGATAGCAAAAAGCCCAAACGTCAAATCCCCCGAAACAGACAGCCCACGCTCGCAAGGAGCACTTCCGCGGAAGGCTGAAGTTGAAAAAGATGAAGGGCGACGGCAACTGCCTGTTCCACGCGCTCGCAGACAAAAGCCACGAAGAAGGGGAACAAGTGCGAACCCAGATCATCCAGTACCTGCAGGAGAACGCAGCCTCTCAAGAAGACGAAGAACAAGTAGGAGCCTGGACCGAAGAGGCCGAGTACCTCGAGAGCGACCCGGGCCACTGGGGCGGAGACACAGCCATCGTCGCCTTCAGCCTAATGAGACAGCAGCGCGTGATCCTACACTGGCGCGAAGACGACGGCCACATCCAGACCTACGAACGCACGCACATGAAAGTGCGGGCAGCTGCACGGCGAGTCCAGCTCGCGGAGCAAGACGACGCCGAGGCCATCCACCTCTGGTACAACGGAAGAAACCACTACGACCGCCTCGTCCTCAAACAAGACCAACCGCCCGATCCGGGCCCAAGCACTTCCGACCATCCCGGCGGACCACAAGATGCCGAAGAGGCGCCACCCCTGCCACCGCCGCCGGCACCCCACCCGAAGCCACGCCCGCCCAAGCGCCAGAAGACCACAACCGACCAAGCCAACTGCACACGCCCGACCCACTCAAAGGAACTCGCGGAGCCAGCAGAAGCAGGAACGCCCGACGAAGCCCAAGGCGGTGAGCCCAGCCTCCTCGAGGAGCTGACACGCATACCCGTTGCCGCAAAACCCACGCAGCGCCACCCCAGACGAAACCTGGAAGATGCGCTCAAGCGCTTCGCCAAAACCCGCCTACGAGCCCAGCCGCTGATACCACCCGACGCCAAAGCCGAGAACGTGGACAAGGGCGAAGCCTGGCCGCGGGTCTTCTGCGCATTCCAGGAATGCACGTGGTCCTCGTTCTCAGGAACGGAGCAGGAACTGCACCAGCACGTCAGAGACGCTCACGCAGAAGAGCTGAAGTTGGTCGCCCAACACCTTCCCAGGCCCCTGCCTAGCGACGCCATCACCAGCATCTACAACGAAGCCATCGCACTGCAATGCCGAGAAGCCGCACCCGTCGCGGGCAGCTCACGAGACAGAAGCGCGCTGCGGAGCTTCGCCGAGGCCACCAGCAAGGACAACGTGGAATCGCTCATTTGCTTCAGCTGCGCCTGCATTCACCCGCGCACAGCCGACACGACGGCCAACAGCCGCATCGGATGGCGCAAACTCATCCAGAGCCCCGCCAGCAACGACGAAAGCCACGCCGAAAGCACCGCAGAACTGCACGAGCTGCTCAACATCGACAAGTACCTCAGCTACTACGACGACCTCGCCGGAGACGCAAAGCTCACAGACGTGGCCAACTTCGACGACTGGACGGTAACCATCCCCGGATTCGGCAACATCCTGTGCTGCCCGGAGGACCATCGATGCCAAGCCCGCCCCGAGCACCCCAGCCAGCACACACTCTGCGAGCACTGCGAAGTGCCCCTCTGCAGCGAGTGCGAGGAGGAGCTACGAAAAGGCCGGCTGCCGCCCCTCAGCCTGTGCAACGACATGTGGACCGGATACTCGCCAGCACGCCTACACGAAGAAAAGGTCACCGTCATGGAGATGATCTGTGCGAGCCCCTGCGTCACCACGCTGGTCTGCATGGCCATGGAAGCACGGCACCGCAGCGAGGGAACCACCCTCGACGAACAAGCCCAGCACGCGAACCACCGCCTCGGAGCCCGAGGAAACGCCCTCACCTTCCCGCTGCCGTGGGAGGACGTGCTGCGCAACCTCCAAGCGCACGAGGAAGCAGTGGCGGAAACGCAGCGAGCAGCAGCGGCAAACGAAGAGCCGCCGCCGCCGAACATACCACGCGCAGGAGCGGCACTCGGCGACGTGGTGAGGGTCCTCCTGAAGACCAACAAGACAGGCAAGACCAGCGAGTCGGAAATCAAAACCCTGCTCCACCAAGCAACGGTGCGAAGAGAAGTGGTCGTCAACCTCATCCTGGACCTGCAACGCCTGGGCCACCCCGCCTTTCAGCACCTGCGACAAGAAGCCGTGCGCGAGGCCGCAGCACAACTGCCGGAAAGCGGCGTGCCCCCGGAGGTGCTAAAGGTCATCCACGGCATGAGAGAAGAGGACGAGACGAGCCAGAAACTGCAACCGCAGAAAGCAGCAGCGCCAACGGACGCCCCGGCTGAAGACGTACAGCAAGCCGGCGCCATCTTCGCCAACCAGCGCGCCCGCGCGGTCCTTCCGGAAGGCTGCAACCAAGACAGAGAGGACCAAACCTCCGTGGCCACGGCCGCCCTCAACGACCTCGAGGACCAACTCCGAAGCAAGCAGCAGACCGAAAAGATCCTGGAAACCTACGAGGTGCGAACAAGCAACATACTCGTGGACCAGTTCCAGCCGCTCTACTTCGCTACGGCCTTCAGCTTCTGCTTCGCCCACGGCACCGCTTGTCCCGACGTCAAGAACAACCAGCAGGGGGCCCGCAACAACCGGCAGCAACGGCGGAGGAGCAGGAACCCCGACGCCCCCGAGGTGGAAATCCACGCATGGGCGGCGGCCATGCAGCGTCGAGCCGAGACCCAATTCCGACGCGACTGGACCTTCGGCTTCACCCTCTGGAACTACCTCTTCAGGACCATGGTGAACCTCCAACAAAACACCTTCATCTACAGCGTCCCCGACGACCACAACGGACGCAGAGCACTCACCAGCCAAGAGATTCTGGAAGGCGGCAAAGAAATCCAAAAAAAACTACTCAAAGGGCATTACCTCGACGTCAACGGCCAGACGAAGGCCGTCAACGGGGATCTGAGCAAGGTGCGCTTCGCCACCGGGCTGGGGACAGCAGCCTTGAAGGCGCGCAGAACCAACAAAAAAAAAGCCCCCGACGCCACGGAACAGAAACTACTACGACCGGAAAACACAAGCTTACATACGTAGACTCGCAACCCCCCCCCCCCCCCTGCCTGCAACGACACGACGAAAGAAAGCCAAAGAGCCACAGGTCCTGGACAACACGGCGGCGCGCAGCAAGAACACCCCCGGCACCCACGAGGTGCGCACGACCATGCGCCACCAAACCCACGCCAATCGAGTCTGCCACGGCACCCCGCTCTTCGTGACCTTCTCCCCGTCCGAACGAGACAACACAGTGATGCTGCGCCTGGCCCGCGCCCGGCAATCCGACCCCAGCCTCGGGCAAGAGACCGAGACCAATCGCGCCGCGCAGAGCCGAAGCAAGCCCGAACTGGACGTGGAGTTCTACAAGCTGAACCCGGAAGCACTCGCCGCGGAGCTGCCGCCCTACGACGAACGAAGAGCCATTCTGACCAAAGATCCCGTGGCCTGCGCGGACGGCTTCCGCATCCTGGTACAGCTCGCGCTCCGGCACCTCTTCGGCGTCCGCTACTGCCCAAAATGCCCCGACTGCGCGAATTCCGACAGACCCTGCACGGATGCGTTCGGCAGCAACGCTATGGCGTGCGGAGGCATCCTCGGCCGACTCGACGCCGCCTACGGCTCCATCGAATGCCAGAAGTCCGGGGTGCTGCACATCCACTTCCAGGCCTGCTCCTCGAACAACACCTACTATAGACAGAAAACCACCAACCCACTACAAGCATGCTTGCCCGCACCACACGAGAAAACCGCCAGACACCATACCCCACCCAAACACAAGAAGAACGACACAAGCCGAAGCCTCGACCGCATGCTCGCCTCGCCCGCAGCTCTTCCTCCAGTGCTTCCACCAGTTCAAATCCCTCTCGGAGTTTCACGCGCTGAACCCGGAGCACAAGATGGACCTCTTCCAGAAATACTGCACCTACACCGCTCACGTCAGCCGCACCGTCTACCAGGATCCAGAAGAATGGGAGAAGAAGCGCCAAGAAACGGAAGAAAAGTGGCCCGCCTACCGCGACTCCCTGCTGGCCCTAAGCCGCCCCAACTATCAGAGGGCCGACGCATCCATGGACGATCCAACCTGGCGGCGGCTCTTCCTGGACGAGGACGTGGAGGCCCTGCAGCAGCTGAAACAGCACCACGTGCACCTTCCCAAGAAAGCCGGCGGCCCGCGCCTGCCGCTGGATCACTGCCGCGACAAAAAAGACCCCACCAAGTGCAAGTCGGGCTTCCCGCGCGAGATGCAGCTCACCGACACGACGACGCTGGTATGTCAAGGCCTTGCAGAAGAGATGGGCATGGCCACAAAGGGCAAGCGCAGCGCCCTCGGCCGGCTGTGGGGGCCGTGCAACGACCCGAACCTCAACGGCAACCATCCAGCCCTGCTGGCCGCCCTCCGCTGCAACGGAGACGTCCAGGTGCCCTATCGCTTCCCGATCACCGAAGACCTCCACGCAGCGTCTGGACGCTGCGGCAAAGACTGCCCCGCCCAGGCCAACCTGCACGAAATGATCCAGCAAGCCCAAGTGAACCAGGCCGCGCAGGCGGGCTACGCCTGCGACTACAGCAACAAGCGGAACCCCATCGCCGTCAACGAGGTCCAGGAGTGGAAGAAGAGCCAGAACGACCTGCAGGCGGAGCTTCAGAACAACCCCTCCAGCGGCTACGTCGGCGCCCGCGTCTCGAAGCGCCTCATGACCGACGCCTTCGCCCGCGGCGTCGTCCGCGGCTCCGTGGAATGCGCGAACCTCATCGACAACGCCGGCCACAACGACCCCACCGCGGCGGAAACCATCAAGACCGCCCAGGTCGTGGAGATGTCCCTCAAAACCGGCATGGAGCTCTTGCGAAGAGCCATGGAGAACCGACCCTGGCAAGAACGAGAACAACTGCAAAGCGACCTCCACAGGAATTCAAACGCGCAGGGAAAAAGAAAGATCATCGCCCGACCGCAACTGTGGACCGTCTACGGGAACCGTGGAAGCGACCCACGCGTCCGACCCCTCTCAGCCTTCGAGTTTGCGCGCTACTACCAAATCCAGCTTGCGCGCCACCCGTGGACGGTGGAAAGACAGGAGCGCGCCACGGACGCCCTGGCTCGCGGAACGACGGACGTCCCCTTCCATGCCCTGCTGACGGAAAACGGCACCACAAAGCTGAGCGAAAAAAGGGGCAAGAACGCACTGGAAAGCGGCGACGACTACCTGATCCGGGAGGAAGGCGGTGAAGACTGGATGCCGATGGGAAAGGGCAACTCCGCTCAGAGGTATCGCCACGACTGGATCATCACCCCACGCAAACGACCCCATGTGCCGGTGCTTTACGGCGCGCTCGGCAGCAACGGCGAGGAGGAGCACATCGTGAAGATTCTGCTCCTCTTCTGCCCATGGACCAGCAACCCCGAGGACGCCACGGAGGAAGTTCCCTACATCGCGCAGCTCCGGACGCCCGACATGGACACCTGGCGCCAAGCCCTGCGCTCCGCCTGGAGGCACGCCGACGGCTTCCCCACCGAGGAGCTGAAGCGCTACGTCCTGAACTACGCCTTCGTGTACTGCCTGCCCCGCTCCCTGCAGCCCGACCACGACCTGGCCGCGAACAGCGACAACGAGGACCTGAAGGACGAGGTCTGCCACTTCGAGGACGACGAGATCGAGCAGGCCACAAAGACGCGGGTGCGAGGGGCCGGCAAAGAATCGCCGGCAGACGCAGAAGAAGAGGATCCGGCCGACGAAGGGGAGCCGCCCGCCACCAGCACCCAGCACGACCTCACGATCCAAATGATGAGCCTCTCCCGAAACGTCTGGCTGGGCGAGGCTTCCAAAGCCAGCGAAGTGCCTCGAGAAGTGGCCCAGCAACTCTTCCAAAAAGCAAGCGAGAGCAAAGGCGTCACCGATGCGCAGCAGATGCTGGACGCCGCCAGGGCTTCCCGCAACAAGAGGGCGCCGGAAGCGGATGCGGAAGGCTCGGGCCTGGACGGCGCCCGCCGCAAAGGCACCGCCAGACATCACCGGGCCGTCAGCAACACGCAGCTGCGAGCCTGGCTGGAAAGCGCAGAGGTGCGGAACGACCTCAACGAGGAGCAGCACGAGTTCCTGAAGCTAGTGGTGGAGCGCGTGCTCGTCGAATACAAGCTCGAGCCGGCTCAAGACACCGTCCGCAACAGCGAAGAACCGATGATCTGGCTGCTGCACGGCCGGCCCGGAACGGGCAAGACCCACGTGCTCAAGCACGTGCGAAAACTCTTCGAGCACTACCTGGGCTACGTGCAGGGCATCGACTTTCAGTTCGCCGCCTTCCAAGCCACCAACGCGGCCCAGATACAGGGGGAAACGCTGCACGCGGCCTGCGGCCTCAGCAAAGAGCGAGACTGCCTGGAGACGGCATGCAAACCAGACACGGCCAAGCGAATAGCCAACTGGCGCTGGCTCATCGCCGACGAGGTGGGCATGATCAGTGCCCGACTCCTGGGGCAAGTGGAAATGCGCACGCGATGCACGGTGCCCAAG